TGTAGTTGATAATTTACATGTTAATGGTCAATGAATGAGCGCCCATACTATTCTTTTTTTGTGACATCTATAGTTTCTGGTCATCTTCGGTTGCATTTTTTTTTTTCCAGTGGGGACCATTTTTCTGTCTGTCAGGCTTTCAAAGTTGGGTAAGTTGGAATTAGTATATTTGTTTTTGTTTATTGTATTTTTATGTATGATATGAATTATGAGGAAGTTTATCTTTAATTCCATTCACAAATTTGAGATTTGTGTTTAGATTGATGACCTGATCTCAGCCTTTTTTGTCGTCACTTGTGCAAGTCATTTCAGTTCCAAAATTTTAACCTTATGGGGCATTTGGTTGCAAGTATTTATAATTCGAGGGTATTATAGTGCTTTGTAAATTTAATATATTTGGAATACTTGAAAGTTACATGGTTGATTTTAAAATAAATTCTAGAGATCACCCTCCGGTATTTGGTTTAAAAAATAAAGCCTAGGCATGGCAGCCTATTCATGACACTTGTTGGATGGAAGTTTCATGAGATTCATGTGAATGAGGTTAATAACTTTCAGAGGTCTCCGGAGGGGACTGGACTCGGCTGGCAATTTGTGGTTATTCGTGATGTTTATGTATAGGGTTTACTTTTGACATAGTTTTGGGGAGGAGATCTCATCTTCATTTCTTCTGTGATATTTGATTACTTTTTTTTTTCTTTTGTTATTTGCGATTGTTTCTAACATTTGGACTAGATTTTCTTTTTTTTCATGAAAGAGTATGACACATAGCATTTAGCGTAGTTGATCTTTCTATCCGGTTTTCCTTTTCTAATCCTCACATTGGATTTGTTGCTTCATATATTATAGCGTGTTTTTGTTGGACCTGCCCTCTTGTTGAATCTCTGTTAGATATGGCAGGGTAAAATTATTTTTTTAACTTGAATTCTGTGATATGCTGGTTCCTAAAGTGATTCTAGTTCCTTTCCTTGATCTGACTTACTTGCACGAAATCAGATGGTTTTATATGCCCATTGCCAATTAGAATCACTGCTTTTATCTGGTGGTAAATATCATGTTCAGCTAGCGTGAGTCAAGATCTAGTGGATCATTGCTAGTGTCATTCTTGATACAGAAAGGGCTACTTTAGATCTTAACCTGATTTGCACTCTTTCAATCCCTAACTTTTTTAGGAGGCTTTTCACACATACCAAATGATCTGGGAGACTTAATACTCAAATTTGACCAGATATGCACTCTTTTTTATCCCTAACTTATTTAGGAGGCTTTTTTTTTTTTTTTTGGTGAAAATTTTAGGAGGCTTTCCACATGTACCAAATGATTCGGGAGACACGATTCCCAAATTCAGCCTAAGGCCAAATTGAATAAGCGAATAAAATTTCTGTTAGCTATGTTAATAGGCTCTATACAAGTTAGATTGTACTCTGTTACGGCTGGCTAGGTAAAGAATTTTGTGGTGTTAGACTCTTTTTTTTTGTTTTTTAGTTCAATTAGATATTTTATTTTATATTGATGATATGGAAAATTTTCTAGTTTCTATAGATGTAATTGTTACTGTTCTTTCTTTGGGTTCTTATGCCCTTAATTGAATGAACTTAAGATTTTTTTTTTGTTTAATATTTATCTTTATGTGTGGCATGTTTTAATGAATTTATTGGCCATGGTCCTATAAATGATAAGAGTTGCGACAATATTTAGAGATATGTATAGATGATACCTCAATTCTCCAAGAGGTTCAAATATGAAAGTAATAAGATAGGGAAAGGGAACATTTGGTCAGGTTTACTTTGCCATTAGAACTAATACTTACTCAAGTTTTCTTTGATGATGAGAGAGGCAAAATAGGAAAACCCTATAAAATAAATGGCACAAAAATACAAGTTTGATTATATAAGCCTACTTGAACTGCCTGCGCCAAGTGGCAATTCTATTCAGTTTAATATTTCCCAAGGACAAGCTCATAATGAAATACATGAACTATTGTCTAGATAGGTGATGCCATGGTGAACTTAACAAGGCTTCTCGTGAAGACTAGATTCCTGGGACATGGAACTATGTGTTTTGATTCTTATTGTTTTTTAATATTATCTTCATTGAGGTGGAAGATGGTTGTTACGAGCTCGTCAAATGTGATGTTTGGGTGGCCTAGAAAGATGGTTGGTGACATTAGACGTTCATATTTGAGAGTTGGGTGGATAGGTTAGCCGGCCTATCTCATTTGGATGGATGATCATGGTCTGATCCCCTTCCAATCAGCCCTGATTTGGGCCTACAATGACTTGCTTAGAGTGACATTTTGGAGGGTCCTGATCAAGTACGATAGATGAGGCATTGCAAGTTTCATGTTATTTCCCTATGGCGAATAATGTTTGTAATCAACTGATGAATGGCCTTTAATGAGGCATCAAAATCTTGCTTTTTTTATGTGCTGCTTTATTCTGGAATGCGCTCCATGATTTTTGGAAGTAGTTGTTATTTTGTTTGAAGGTCTTTTGATTGCTTTAAAATAAAACTATCTTTAATAAATTAGTGAAACATCTGTACAAATTCATAATGTGCCTAATGATAATTATTAAAAATAAAGGACGGAAGAAGTGTAAAAACCAATAGTTCAATGTGCATCCATTTGAACAGTGGGTTTGAAATTCATTGTTAAAATTGCACAGACAACGAAGGAATTGGATTTTCAAATTCATGATCCTTCAAATAAACTTTATAAATCTAAATTTCAATGTTTTGAACTTTCATCCAATCAACGGGTCATTTATTATCATTCGGTAGTTCAAAACATCTGCTCGCAAAGTCTAATTTTTCATTCAATTTTTTCAAAACCGAAGGAATTAAAATTTGATTGCTCACTTGAAATTTAGAGTCCTGTAGTTGTTATTTTGTTATTCATATCATAATGAATTATGAAGTAATTAACATATATTAGGAATTTTAGGATTGGAAGAAGTTTATAAAATTGAATTTTAAGTTAATTTATATTAAAAGAATTTTTTGTGCATTGAAAGCGACTTCCTAAGAGCTATTATCTTTGATTGTTTTTGTTAATGAATGGACATTCTACCTCCTTTTTCAAAATCAGCCTTTAAATCATCTAATAATCTCTATAAATAAACTAACTAAACGGTAGTGCATTGCTGGCACAGTCAAGGAAGGGATATATACTTATTCTAGTGTAATAACTCATTATTAGGAGAGGAACGTAAAACTTTTTTTCCATTCAATTGCTGTTTACCTAACTCATTATTAGGAGAGGAACGTAAAACTTTTTTCCATTCAGAGCCTAATCTCTAATTGATTGGGATAGGTTGGTTAGCTTAACTTTCTGTTTTATCGGGATGATTACATCTTCCACTCGTCACTGAAGCTGGCTGACAAAGGAAATTATTGAGGGAAATTTTCAGTAATGAAATGCGGTTGATAATTTCCATGTTGATAATCAACGATGAGTGCTTACACCATTCTTTTTATTTATGACATCTATAATTTCTGGTCACCTTAGGTGCCTTTTTTCTTTTTCAAGCGAGGACCATTTTTCTGCTCATGAGGCTTTCAAAGTAGGGTAAGATGGAAATGGAATATTTATTTTTGTTTTTTTGTATGTTATTAATTATGAGGAAGTTTCTTGTTAATTCCATTAACAAATTTGAGGTTTGAGCTTATATTGATGACCAATCACTTGTGCAAGTCATTTTAGTTCGGAAGTTTTAACCTTAAGGGGTATTTTCTCGCAAGTATTTAGAATTCAAGGGTATTAAAAATGTAGTGTTTTGCAAATTTTATCTATTTGGAATACTTAAAAGTTGCATGGTTGATTGTATAATAACTTATAGAGATCATCCTCTTGCACTTGGTTTAAAAAGTAAAGCCTAGGCATGACACCTGTTGGATGGAAGTTTTATGAGATTGACGTGAATGAGACTAATAATTTTAAGTGGTCTCCAGAAGGGGTTGGAACTCGGCTGCTAATATGTGGCTATCTGTGATGATTATCTATAGGGTGATATTTTATTGTTATTTTTATTTATTTATTTTTTCTGTTGTTATTTACGATTGTTTCTGACATTTAAACTAGATTTTTTTAGATTACTATTTGGCCCAAGCTTGTGGGCTTTTTTTCCATAATATTTTAAGTAATGTTCAAAATTTAGGGATCAACCAGGACTTGTTTAAATTGAAACACCTTTTGTTGTCAGTTTAAGGAATTTCAAACTTTCCATAATCATTTCTTCGGTGATATTTGATTAATATATTTTTTTGCTGTTGTTATTTGCGATTGTTTCTGACATTTAAAGTAGATTTTTTTTAGATCACTATTTAGCCTGAGATTGTAGGCTTTTTTCCTTAATCTTTTAAGTAATGTTCAAATCTTAGGGATCAACCTTGACTTGTTTAAATTGAAACACCTTTTGCTGTCAGTATAAGGAATTTTCAAACTTACCTAAAATGCATGGAATTCTGAAATTTCCTTAATTAAGGAATTTTCAAACTTACCTAAAATGCATGGAATTCAATAATTGCATTCTGAAATTTCCTTAATTAGTAAGTACTTTTGCTCTATGCAAAAGTAACTGCTGATTTGATTAATTTAGATCACTGTTTAGCCCGAGATTGCCATATCTTGTGATAAAATTTAGGAAATGTGATGTGAATGTTTGTTTTATTTTGAATAACTGATTACTATACAATTTTTTTTGTTTATAAAGAATTTAATTGGGTTTTTTTGGTATGTTTAATTTTTATTATGTTCATGATGTACAGATGACCTTATCACTTTTCTTTATTAATTTTATACCCTCCTATCTTGACCTGGATTTATTTCTATAAGAAAGATGTTAAAATAAGCATATGAAATAATGAGTCTTTTGAAAAGCTTGGAAGTTTTTATGCTGTCTTTATTTGGTTTCCTGTTATTTTCTTAGTTGATATCCTCTAAATATGAGAACTTTTTCTTATTTTCTTATATCAACTATTTGCCATTATTGACATGTTAGGTGCTCCTGAGATGCTGGGTTACTATCCGAGGGAAGAAGAAAGGACAACACATCATGCCGTTAAAGATACAGAGGCCATCAATGCATCATATGATCGTTATTTGCAAAATGGAGTATTTATACTGTCGTTTTTACCTTGTCAATTTTCTTTTCTCCTTATGATAGTATTGATTGTTTATTCATTGCTCTTGCAGATTCCTTCCTATTCTAATGCAGAACTTGTTCGGCCTGTTGGAGGACTGAATGGTCGCCCTGTTGAAGCTCCACGTCTACCAATAGTCGGAGGCATGGATAGCCGGGTCATCGGCGGCTATAGTAGAGGTAGAACTGAAGCACCTCTTCCACAGGATGCATCGAATACTTTATTTGTGGAGGGCCTTCCTGCAAACTGTACACGCAGAGAAGTGTCTCGTATCCTCGGAATAGTCCTGCTCTTCGTAAATATTTTAGGGGCATTTACATCCATAGCATCCAATTATTATTTATTTTAATATCTAACATCTAAACTTTAGTTTTTACATTTATGTCATCCAAACTTTCATATCATATAAAATATATCACTTTTTTAACTTTTGAAAAGTGAAATTCACCTTTTCATGGTGCAAATGTATGTTGGCATACATGTAAAAATTGAAGTTTATATGTTGGTCATGTAAAAACATATGAATTAAGTACATGCATGTAAATTTTCAAAAGTTTTATTTATTTTATTTCGCTGTCAGTTACACTAACTTTTACTTCTAGATGTCTATTTGGCTCCTTGACCTCTGGCTGCAGATATTTTTCGTCCTTTTATAGGCTTTCAGGAAGTGAGACTTGTGAACAAGGGATCCAGACATGTGAGTCAATATTTCTACCCTTAGTGGAACGATTGTTTACTGAGTTGATTTTAGGAAGATTTACTTGAATACCACTCAATTCTTATGTTTTTTATGCATTCTACCTTACCTATACATGAAAAAGTGTATTAAGTTTTTAAAAAATTAAAATAATGGTACTTTTGATGTGATGACATATTTGGATGGTGCAAATATAAACAGAAAACATAATTTACGTGTTGGATATGTAAATATATAACAATTGGGTGGTAGATGCATGTAAATGTCCCTTTGTTTTATCACTTATAGTTTTTTTCTTTTCTTCGCTGTCAGTCTGGAGGAGATCCACTAGTGCTGTGCTTTGTCGATTTTGTCACTGCCAATCAAGCCGCAAATGCCATGGATGCCTTGCAAGGTGAAAATAATGAACTTCAGATGTCATATCCATATGCTGTAAATCATAAATGTTTACCTGCTTGCTATTGTTTTCTTCTCCTAATTTTCCATTTTCTCTCCAAATATTATTCCAATAGTAGCTTGGCATCTTCAGGTAAGCGTTATGACATAGAAATGTTTCACAATATTTATGTGTTTTTCCTGTTTTATTTTTATTTTTTTACTCATGCTCATAACTTGCTTTGATATTGCTTATTTTTTGTTTTAATTAATTCTCTCGGCCGGCCGGTCTAATTTATGGCACTGCAATTGGATCTCTATTTATAAAAGTTTCTGTGGAGTCTGTTGTGTTTTTTAAATCATGGGGCAATTATATGAAAAGGCACTATAAACTGCAATTTACTGAACTAGCACTTTCTTTAATCTGTTTTTCAAGTTCTCATCCAAATCTTAAAATTCATGATAAAATACCAACCCCTATTTTCTATCTTACCAAATTCTCAATGATTTGATTGTGGCATATGCGAATGATTGGTTCGATAGTTCAAATAATCACCTGGGTGCTAAGTTAGTAAATGACAATGTTTCAAATGCATGTATGTAATTATCCCATAATATGGTAGGTCCTCAATTCAAAGCTGGGAAATAGATTATGGCGAAAAAAAATACTAAGTTCCTGTCAGTTTAGAGATTTGTAAAAAGGTCTGGCATGGCGTTCAAACCGGGTTCTATTGTATATGATAAAGGTTATGAAATTGTATGTTGTGATGCAATTAACATGTGGTGATCGGTAGATAGTCACGGTTCCATTTTGCAGGTTATCGATTCGATGAGCGAGACCGAGATTCGGCCTCTTTAAGGCTGCAATTCGCTCGATTTCCGGGTCCAAGGCCATCCGGCGGACCTCGTAGTAGGCGTTGATTTTATCCGGTTTCTATTTCGCGTGGCGAGCGACGATCTCGGTATTTTATGACACCTACGCACGCGGATTTAGAACTCGTTCCTTCGTTTGTTCGTTACTGGCGTTGTGTCACGTGAAGCGTTCGTTACTGGGAAATTACTATCCGACTTTCATTTTCCTGTAGAATACTGCTTATCTTATTTATGTTTTCCTCCATTGGAATACTTTAGACATCCCTTATGGCGGTCGTACTGTAACGCTTTGTATGGCATTTGGTGTTTTGTTTTATTATTGATAACTGGTTACTTTTTCGTTATTTAGGAGCGCCAGACTACTTTTGCTTTTTGGTTCACTGACAGCTTATTTAATCGGGTTGGAATTAATGATCTAAAACAAAAATCCTTTCAGCACTGCTAGTAGGTAGGCAGCAGTAATTTAATTTAAGCTTTGATTTACTTGATATTGTGCTGTATTTGTTATATATATATGATACCATTTACATTGTGAGGGGGAATATTGCATTTCTTGTCTATTATTGACTCATTAGGTGTTAGATATGTAAATACATAGGAATTGGGTTTAAGTGTATGTATGTGATAATTTTGGGGGGCATGCATGTAAACATGAATATTTTGTTGTTAGGTATGATTGTTTGATGGTAGGGTTTTTCATCAGCTGTGGAATGGCTTTCTAAATATAAGCTTTGGTTTCTATTTCTGTAATTCAATTTTTGTATGGATATGTATTTGATTGTGCGTTGTGTGCCTCTTGGGCGATAAGTTTGGCGTTTCTTGCTTAGCATCTCATATATATATATATATATATATATATATATATATATATACATATATGTTTATTATTTATATATTATTAAAAATAAATTTACATGTTTTTATAAAGAATATATAGGGTGTTGTAAATGTTTAAAAAAATAAGTATATTTATTTGCACGTCAAATATATTTTGATTCAATTTAAAACATGAATTAAATAAAAAATAAATTTATCTTTGATTAAAGTTAAATTATAAGTTAACATTTCTTTTTTCCTAATCGTTAAGATAAACAATTTCTATTTATATAAGTTTAAATTTTTTCTAAAACTATGAAAATGAATTTGGCTTTTGAAATTGTTGGGATCATTAATAATTTTGTTGAACCTAGATTTGTTCGTTAATCACGCCTAATAATTAAGTTATAGAAATGTAATATGTTGTATTAGTGTTTTTCAAACTGTTATATTTATTGTTCACATTTATAGCTACATTTTCTTTTGACATATTTTGTCTCGCTCGGTCGACCTCGAAGGGGCTGCTGTTTAGGCTGAGCGAGCATTTGGTAGCCAGGCTGTGTCTTATAAAGATATCATGGTTTAATTAATTCCTGCTCGGTAAGCTTTTTAGTATGTTAGTTTTCTCGTCCGAATGACTGAAATGCCCTCTCCTCTCTCTTTCACCCTTGGTTGTTTAGGTTGATCTGCCTTAGGCTCTTTATAGAGATCGATCTTCTAATTGGCCACACCTTGAAGTTATTATCTTGTCTTTAAAAGCCATCCTAGCTTAGATATAACAATATCTACACATATATGTACAAAGTGCAGTTGCAACAAGAATCGTAGACAACCATTTTTATTTCCTTCCTTACACACTCATGCACCTTTGCATTTACTATATTCTGATGTATGAGGTCCAACCACAAAAGTATCCACTCAAGACTATAAATATTTATTGTTTCTTATTGATGATTTTTTGCGTTTTTGTTGGGTGTTTCCAATGCGGAGTAAAACAAAAACTACTGTGATTTGTATCAATTATATCAATTTGTTTCAAAATAAATTTAACACCACAATCCACATTTTCCGATCTGATGGGGGTGGGGGATATAATCTTCTCAATTCCTAACCCACAATGGGATCCTCCACCAATTTTCATGTCCCCACACTCAATAACAAATAGTCCTTAAATGATCACAAAGGGGCTTTAAATTCTACTTATTCTTTATTCATTCATTAGATGCTTGTTTTTAGTGTTATGTAACAATTTTAGGCTTCAGAGCTAATTTACTCGGTATATCTGTGGTTGCTGCTCTTTTATTAGCAAGGAGGAATGCCAGAAGATCCAAGCCATATATAACGGCAGCTTTAGGTTGAATGCATCAAAGTGCTATGTAAACTTCCATGTGTGCTACATATGCTAATTTTCCTAGTTATTATTATCATCATATTTGTGGAGGCTTCTTCTAGGTAGAATTCAAAGCTTAGAGTTTTGGAGAAAGTGTGCTTGCATGTGGTTCCTGCTGCTGGAGATTATTTAGACCACTATTGGTGGTAAAATTGGTGCAACATGATCAGCTCATGCCTCGAATTTCAGCTCAGTAACTTCTCAACAGAAGTGTTTGATATGTAAATAGGTTTGGAATGGATAGAAGTTCAGCTCTGTAACTTCTCTTCAGCATTCATTTTAGATTGAGATCTGCAAACCTGTTGGTGAGCAGATCTGTCATTCTGGAGCTTTGTGTTAAATTGATACCATTACTATATTTAATTCAAACTTTGTTTAATAATCTGCATTACCAACATTCCCATATTGCAAATGATCGGGGCATTTACATGCATACCAGCCAAATCTTACTTTTACATATCTAACCTCTAAACTTTTGCTATTTTACTTTTATTACAAATGATAGGAACAAGGAAGTTGTTGTGCCGCCATATGTTTTGTTGGGGCTGCGTCGATCAATTGCTGGCGAACAAATATTACGTTTAGAGTCCAGACGTAGAGATACGTTTAGAGTCTAATGAAATCACGTCATGTGGAGGTGACAGAAAAATTAAAAAAAAAAATCATTTTAGCACATGAGAATATTCTCCTCGCGTTATTCCATATTATCCAGGTGTTATGTGGTGATATTCATGTATTATTGTGTTCTGAGAATATTCTCGATGTTATAATATCACAATAACACATCAATACCATCACAATAACACCTGAATAATGCAAAATAACATGAGAGAAATATTTCCTTGTGTTACCCGGCCGGATAAAAGAAAACATGTTTTTTTTTTTTTCTATGACTCTTTATGCTCATATTTCGATGAATGGAAAAGTGGCTACCTATTGCCTTTTGTTCAATAATAATAATAATTGTTATTATTATTATTTAACTTTATTTCATGCATATGTTGATCACCCCTGATCGATTTCTTTGGGACAAATAGTTGAATTCCATGAATTGATTAATCAAGTTCCTCGAGTCCTTTTGGTCGACACCTAGTGGACTGACATTCCTAGCTCTGCTAACTTGAGTGAGCATTCATGAGGCATTCGGGAGGTGCAAAAAGAGATAAATTGACATATATTTGACTAGAATAGAAATTTATATTAGTTCACAACTTTTCAAGGATAAAAAATTTTAAGGTGCTATGCTCCACGTGCGGGGCAACTCCTTCTCGGTGTGTGTTCGTAGCTTGTAGGCTTTTTGTGCTACCCTTTTGCTGATGATCAATGATCTAGTCCATGTTTAATTGAGTTTATTCAATGGTTGGGCCTCATGCGGCTGAGTAGACCTTTTTTAGTATGAAATCTCCTTCACGGAAGATTTTCTCTCGGACATATTTGTTGTGATACCTGACAGCCCTCCTCTTAATTTCTTCCTGCCTGAGGGCTAACTGCATTTATTTCTCCTAAATTTGCGTCAAGTGCTAGTTCCAATCCTTCCTTATTGACTTCTAACCACTCACTTAGATTCCCTTCGTCGATCATAGAGGTGACGACCACTATTTGATTGTGAAGGTTGTACTCTATGGGCAATATGGCTTTGGTTCTATGTGATAACATAAATAGAGTTTGACTAGTCTCTATTGACTGTGTTGTTTGAATTACCCAAAGGAAGGACGAAAGAAGATCAACCTAATTGCCTTTGATCCTTTGACCTTCTTCCTGAGCAGGTTAAATATGATCTTGTTGGCGACTTCAACTTGCCCATTCATTCGAGTATTGTTGATAGAGACAAATTTGAGGCCGATTCCTTGAGTTTGACAAAAGTTTCTGACCCCTTGATTGAAAAATTATGTCTCATTTCCAGTAATGATTGTGAATGATAGACCATAACTGTAAATATGGTTTGTTTGGTTGAAAACACGAATGATGTTGATCGTTATGCTAGCAAAAGCATTGGCATCAATCCATTTGGAGAAGTAATCGACTGCCACCAACATGCACTTTCCCTGCCTTTTAGAAGATAGAAAGGATCCGAGGATATCAGGTCCTCAGACAACAATGGCTATGGGCTAAAGATGGGTTGTATCTCATGCGACGATTATGTTGCAATGTGGTAAATTTTTTTGCATTGCTTGCATCTCTTTGAGAATTCCTCTACATCTTATTTAAGTATCTACATCTTATTTAAGTATCGGCTAGAAGTATCATTTTTATTGTATCAGGTTGGCTAATGTTTTCCCTCTAGAATGACTCCCCTCGCCATAATGCTTTTATATGAGAATTCCTTCAACCTCATTTTCGCATACACATCTCACGCATAGGAAAGTGACCTACCTCTGAAATAACTTGTCGTTCATTATAAGATACTAGGCGGCCTTGAAATTTAAGCACCTTGGATTAACAATGTCCTTGGAGATGTCTCCCATCTTCGAGAAAATAAATATAACCTATCACACATCGTTAGACAAATACAACTCCCTCGCATCATCCATAACCGAGCAAACCGACCTCCATTCACTAAAGAGAACAAACCAAGAAGAAAGGCGGGAGCTGAGGCACGTCATCGCCACTCGACTCAGCTCACCTCAAATAACAGAATGATTGATAGAACATACCACCAAAGGAGTTAGCACTGATCCTGACCTACATCTGGCTCAACAAAATAAATGCATTATCATTCCAGCTATTGTATTTGGTTGATTGAAAAATTATAAAGTAAAATTTTTTCTAACTATGCAACTCTCTTATTTTTCAGTGATTCAATAATCAAAATCTCTTAATTTTTTAACTCAAATGGAGAAATGAGATCAATTCTGATTAGTTTGATTTAACCTTCATCATTTTTATTATATTAATGATTTAAGCTGCCAATGAACGTGCTAACATAAGTCAATTGAATAATGCGAAATATATATATATATATATATATGATATTTTATTTATGCATGAAAAAATATATTTCATTTTTAAAAAGTTAAAATAGTTATAATTTTTATTTAATATGAAAATTTTGATAAATACGATAAATGTAAGAAAAAAACAAAATTTAGGTGTTAGACATGTAAATGCATAAATATTAAGTGGTATTTACGTAAATGCCCCTAAAAATTTCATGATATATTCACTATTTTCTCTACAATCATATGCATACCTTTGCCGAAATAATACTCCAATAACTTCAAAATATAGAGAGAAATGAAGCATACAAGAATGATATTGGCTCTGCTCACCATTTCCTCAAGCAAAGGAGAAATATTTGCGTAAGTAAGACGTGACGTACGCAAAGCTGCGTACGTCTGGTATGTTACAAGGAGGGTATTAGGAGTTATATCCGTGTGATACCCCTAAAACCTCCCTGTAATTTACCTATACTTAATAAATTATGCGCTTCTGTTTTCATATATTTCTAAGTTACATGTATATTACAGAGAGATCACAGGAGGAATAACACATATATAACCCTTAATACCCCCTCCTTGTAACCTACCTGACATACACCATACGACAAATAATTACTATACGACAAATAATAAAATAATTTATAAAAAAACAAACGAAAAAGACAATATTATTTTTTTTTGACCTTATTACAAATGTAATACTAATGTTTGTCTGAGAAAATGTGACAGTTTTGCTACGTATGAGAGCTAACATTACCATGTGCCCGACTAATGATGATGTATTTAATACAGCCAAAACAGCTTGCTTCATATCCATTATTATTTTATCTTCAGAAATTGCAAAAATACAGACCATATTTACATAAATATAAAAACAATTATAGATTCATGTAATAATAATAAATGATTGAAACGTATTATTATTTGTAATTATCTAAGGCATTAGATGGTAAATGGTAGGAAAAATATTACATCAGGACTCCTGACGTAGAGCTACGTTCGGAGTCCAATAAAATAACGCCGTGTTGAGTTGACAGAAAAATAAAAAAAAAAATTATTTTAGCGCAAGAGAATATTCCCTCCGTGTTATTTGACATTATTTAAGTGTTATTGTGGTGGTATTCATGTGTTATTGTGTTCTGGGAATATTTCCGGTGTTATAATAACACACATCAATACCACCACAATAACACCTGAATGACACGGAATAATACAGGAGGAATATTCTCCCGTGTTACCGGGCCAGATCACAGAAAAATGAACGTGTTTTCTTGAAGCCACGTGTTCGCATATCAATGGACTTCGAACGTAGCTCTACGTTACGAGTCCTGATGTAATATTTTTGCTAAATGGTGATGGTGATGACACAAAATTAAATATAAAAAGTGCATTGTCAAACAAACCTGCAAGCAACATAAAGGGTGAATTTTATAATTTATAAAAAGTCAATTAAAATTAATATTATACATTTTTTAAATATAAGTTAAATGATAATTATAAAATAATCCAGAATAAATTTAAGTCAGAAAGTCTTTTCATGATTTTTTTGAACTATAATAAAATCTGATCATGGTTTGAATTATAAATTTGGGCCAAAAAGTTTTTACTTTACATATAGCATGAAATAAATTTAAAGATTATAAAAGTCAACCTGATCAAATTTTTTAAGTAGGATGCAAGTTGGCCGCAGCAAAAGGCAGGTTTAATTTACTAAAAAAATGACGCATTACAAAAAAGTAATAAAAAGTTATAGTCATGTTATTTAAATACACATCTCAATCAAATTTTATATGAAATTACTGCATTTTGACAGCTTTTCAAAATAGCTGAAATTAGCATTTTCACATCATTCTGACTAGGTGCGGTGACAGTTTTAGCTGCGGTCTCGCTTCTTAAAAAAAAAAAATAATAATAATAACTACAACAGCTTTTTGAATAACAGATTATTTTTTAACAGCTTATTAACAGATTATTAATAAGTTGCAATTGTCTCAAAGAGAACTTATGTCTAATTGAACAAAATAATATAATAAATATTAAATTATTATAATATAATTTAAATGATGGAATGCTGACACAACAATGATTTTTTCTCTAATTCAATATAAATATTCTAAATCAATTTGAAATAGTTTAAACATAATTCTACACTAAAATTTTGAAGAAATATTAATTTTGAAAATGGGTCTGAAGACCGATTTATGGTTGAACCAGTCAAACGAGCCGATACAAAATGATTTTTAAGACTATGG